ACCATAGACACCAAAAGTCTCAATATTATAACAAAAGCTCTAGGACTACTATTGCAGCTAAATTCCCATTCTGGACTTGGACCACTGTGCAATAGTCATAGCATGTTGATTGTTTCATATATTTTGCCTATTCAAAATTTCGCATTTTTCTAGTTATGACAACGTTATGAAAAAACCAAAATTTAACAAAGTTGTGATCATCAGGACCCATCAAAGTCACTTTCAATCGAAAATCGTCAAGCGATAACGAAGCTGTCAACCGTTCACTTTCAATTCAAACTCATTCTGTCTTCTCTTCGAGCAGATCCCCTTCAACATCAACAGAACTACTTTCTATCAGTTTTCATGCTGTTTGTTTTGGCTCGACTCGTGTTCATTCTGTCTTTCATTGTAAAAAGGAACTTACTTTCGTTTTGAAGCGAAACTGTTCGATCCACCTTCGCGCAGGTTTTCTGACTTTTGTTGATTGTTCACTCATTTAAGCGCATGTGCACGTAGATGGTTTGTTTACCCCTCAATATGTGTATTTTTTAATCGGGGTGACGTCTAGAAGCCGGAAATCGATATCCGATGCCATTTTGAAGTCCAAGATGGCGGCTTTCGGTTCAAGAAAATGTGGAAAATACTGTCAAATACTAGAGCTGCACCGAATAGAGCTATTTGGTCTGGTATTCGCTGTTTACATGCGAAGTTTCGCTAATATTCGACCATTTTCTTACAAATGAGTGGTCGACACAACGATTGAGTGAAATTTTGTTAGCTTAACGCTTGATATTCGGCCGAATACTATGGGTATTCTTGGAAACGGGATGACGTCTAGAGAATGAAATCAATATCAGACGCCATACAAAATGGCGGCTTCCGATTAAAAAAAAAAGAAGTGGGAAATACTGTCAACTACCCATCAATATGGGTATTTTTTTTTTAATCGGTGTGACCTGTAGAGGTCGAAAATCGATATCCAACGACATTTTGAAATCCAAGATGGCGGCTTCCGATTTCAGAAAAAGTGGGAAATACTGTCAAATGCCTATCAATATAAGTATTTTTGAAAGCAGATTGACGTCTAGAAGCCGGAAATCGTTGATTTTTAAAAAATAAAATGCGGAAATACCACCGACAAACCCACATGAATGATCAAACAAATATTAAATAAATTTCTGATCAAAGCACAAACTGACATCTGCCGCCGTGTTCGTGGAATATATTTATCCTAGCCACGAACACGCGTACGACATTTATGAGTTGGTTCGTGTCTAATCTATTACGGACAAATTATTTTTAACTAGATAAAACATTTCTATGGTTTTGACCAGTGTTGGGAAAATATTTAAAAATCAAATCTCACCAACGCCCAAGATCACGCTTGATTTTCGTAGACAAAAATCAACAAGCAAACAACTGCGGTTGATTTTGCAAGCTGTGATATCGCAGCTCGGAATATCAAGCTAACAAAACTCACCAACTGCAAATCACACCAAACTGTGGTGAGATTGAGTTTAATGATTTTTGCTTTACACCCGATTGCAGCCGAAACTTCCATAACGGCTTGCAGCAGTCCCTTCGCGTCTCCCATCGGTGATGATTAAAAAGAGATAGCAAACTATGCTTTCGCTTTCTAAGAAAACGATGTGTTGTGTGATTCCAATATTTTTGTGTCGAGCCATCTTTCAGCTTGATTTTCGCACGTTGTGAATAGTTTCGCAATATCAAAGGAGCTTGTAAAATCAATATCAAGCATGATATTTTGTTCCAATATCACGCGTGATATTGAGAGCGCATGAGAGCGGAAAAATATCAATTGATTTCTGATTTTGCCAACACTGGTTTTGACAGACGGGATCGCTGTACATTTGAATCAGCCGTTATGGATTCTTGATCAAGAGTTAAGTTTAAGTTTCAAGTCGGTTTGTCGGTGTCAAATGTCCATCAATAAAGGTATTTTTGGAAGCATATTGACGTCTAGAGGCCGGAAATCGTTGATTTTTTAAATAGAAGTGGGAAATACTTATGCCGACCCATCCATATGGGTATTTTTGGAATCGGTATGACGTCTAGAGAATGACAATCGATATTCGGCGCCATTTTGAAATCTAAGATGGCAGCCACCGATATAATAAAAGGTGGAAAATATTAATTTCCATTTAATTCCACTACCTTATTTGCATATCCTTGACAGATACGCGTATTTCGTCTACTATATGCAGACTTCTTCAGTGTTAAAATACTGAATACTAAAAAAATACCCATCAATATGGGTATTTTTGCAATCGGGGTAGCTAAAGAATGGAACAAAGATATGCGACGCCATTTTTTAATCCAAGATGGTGGCTTCCAGTTTAAGAAAAAGTGAGAAATACTGTTATATACCCATCACTATGATAATTTTTGGAATCGAGATGACGTCTAGAGAATAAAAAATGATATCTGACGCCATTTTGAAATCCATGAGGGCGGCACCAGAGATATTTTTTTTTATGAATCAGGTTAACGTCTCGAAGCTGGAAATCGATATCGCCATTTTGAAATCCGAAGCGACGGCTTCCGATTTGGGAAATAGTATCAAATAACATGGATATTTTCAGAACGGAGATGACCCGTAGAGGCCTGAAATCGATGTCAGACGCCATCTTACAATCCCAAATGGCGATTTCTGGTTTCAGAACATGTGGGAAATACTGTCAAATACCCATCAATGTGGGTATTTTCAAAATCCCACTAACGTCTAGCGGCCAGAAACCGACGTTTGACGGCATTTTAAAATCTTATTCATAACAAGAGTAAAATACTGTCAAATACCGATCAATGCGAGCATTTTTGAAATCGAGGTGACATCGGAGGCCGGAAATCAATGTCTGACGCCATCTTGAAATTCAAGATGGTGGCTTCCGATTTCTGCAGAAGTGTTAAATACCTTGCAAATGGCGTCGGATATCGATTTTCGTCATCCACGCGTCGTTCTTGTTTCGAAAATACCCAGATCTTAGAGTATTTGACATTTTTCGTGAAACGTCAAGTATCGATATTCGGCATCTACGCGTTGTCCCCTTTCTGTAGGGTATTTGACACTTCTGAAAACCAATGGCCACTAAATTGGATTCCAAAATGGCGTCGAGTGGTGATTTTCAGCTTCTACGCGTCGTCCCCGTTCCAAAAATACCCATATTGTAGGGTATTTGACACAATTGCTGAAACTTGATGGCCGCCATATTGGATTCCAAAATGGCGTTGGATATCGAATTTCGGCATCTACGCGTTGTTCCCGTTCCGAAAATACCCATATCTTAGCGTATTTGACACATTTTTGAAAACCGATGGCCGCCATCTTGGATTCCAAATTGACGTCGAATATCGATTTTTGGCATCATCGTTCTGAAAATACCCATATTGTAGAATATTTGTGGCTTTCCTGAGCCCGATGACCACCATCTTAGACTCCAGAATGGCCTCGTTAGTTTAATTATCGTTTAATATAAAATAATATTTTATTACCAAATACAATCCGGATGCCATCCCCATCGGCAACCCATATTAACTATCTGGATCAGGGCGTCACAATATCAGCTTCAATCGACCAAATCGATGCGACGAAGAGACTGCTGGCTTTCTTTTTCTGTTAAAGTCGAACAGCTTCGCAGCATTCTAGAACCTCAGTCGGCGTGCACAAACAAATGTTCAATCGCTTGTCTCTCTTTCTCCCGTCGCTCCATTGGTCTTCCTTTCAAGCTTCGGTGAAACGGATGAGCGAAAGAGCGCTCGACTTTGATAGTTTTCTCTTTCATGAAACACATCAACAGAGTTTTCATGACGTATATGACGGAAAATGAAATAACAGATTTAAAGCATTTCTCACGTGAAATCACGTGAAGATTACACGTAATATGTTTAATTTATCTTCCATCCATATATTTATCTAAAAAAAATGATCAAAAACGGGACATAACGCATTTTAAACAAATTGAAAGATCGGTGATAGAATGTTCGTGAAAGGGGATTGAAAGCCATAATGAGGTTCGTTTAACTAGAAAATCGACGTTAGTTACATTGAAAGCGATGAGCAAAACAACGACGAGAAGTTCCACAGCCAGCGTTTCCTTCTAAGCGTGCTTCTTTTTCACTATCATTTCTTGCTGATAGTCTAGCTAGGCGTTATAGAAATGAATCGTCGAACACGTATGTATGAGAGAAAAAAAACACGAGTTCATTTTAGAGTTTCGAAAATGTAGAGCCCTGATCTGGATACTGTATTTTGATGCCTGATGACGAGACGCGTGACATGTCGAATGAGCCTCGAATTGAAGTGGAAGTGGAAAAATCGAAGGAAGCAGTTTTCGAGTCAGTTATTGCGTCAATTGAAACAAGTCTTTGCTTCAAATGAAATGAACGGATGCACTTGACGAATGAAACAAGCAATAGTCATGTCATGTTTGACAGGAAAAGTGTTCATCGTGACTCGATAATGAGAAACACAATAAACTACACCAAGATGATATTGCTCGAAATGAAGCGATTCTGCGGAAAGCTCATTTTCTTTTCTTTGTTTCGAAAATGCAGAACCCTGGTTGTGATGCAGAAGTGAACATAATAGGGTAAATGGCTCTAATGTTGGCCTATGGATCTAAGATTGGACCCATCGCTAAAAATCAGCTATTTATCAATTTTGTCAAGATGAACGCGTTATTGGGACGGTACTAATGGATATTTTTGGTCGCTATTGAAAATTTAGTCGACTGCTGCATTTATGTATGGGCCCAAATTACGGGCATTTAGGCCGACATTACATCCATTTCCCCTATATCAATTATTAGCCAAGTTATTTACAAACTTACAAATAAATTTAATAAGCCCCAGCTGAAAGTTCATTTCATGCCATTTCAATATCTTACAATTTCAGGGTAAACAATATCCAATTCCCACTGTATGCATACACACATATATCCACACCCCATGCCGGATGGTGATTCATTTATACTAATGCAATTATTCGCGTCTCGTTTCAGATAATGGTCGTGCTAATGGGGGATTAACGTAGCCCTTTCCCTGCCAAACCTGCGTTGTTGCGTGGCGTAACTCGGCACAGCTTTCGAACCTAAACATGCTTCAACGGTTCAAAGATCACAGCAAGTTCAAAAAGAAGAGACCAGTGATATTGGACCGGCAGCAACGTCCCATCAGCGTCGACGACAAATGAATCTCCCAATGTAGAAAGCTCCCCCAATCCCTGGAAGAGTTTCCCATTTTCGTTCATTTTCCCTGTTTTCTGTTCCGTAAATTTGTAATTGAAACGGTCACTCTCGAGAACGATCATTCAGAAAGTCTCTCATAACAAGGTCATGTACCGATTGAACATTGTAAGCACAAATCCAACTGGAAGCGTACAGCAGCAGCAGCAGTCACAACAGGCGACGAGTGGTATTAGACCCCATCAGCAGCAGCCTCCGCAGCTGGCCCTGGTTCAGACGGGTGGTGGAACTACGACGACGACCATCATCGGCCTGACGTCGTTGAATGCCCTCAATGCTACCACGATCACTGGACTGGCGGCACCGGCAGCAGCAGGAGGAAGCACTTCGACGGCTACCGGTTCGGCTACCACGCCGGCGACGGCCGTTACCAAGCATCATATCCTGAAGGCAGCCTCCAACAACAACAACATCAGCATCGTCAAGATCGGTGATGAAATCATGCTGAAGGCCGTCAAGGTGGAACCCCTCCCGACGGACACCGGTGGTAGCGGTGGAATCATCGCCGCCTCCGCTACCACCAGCAGTGGAGTTACCGTAACGGCCATACCGGCGTCGGCTCCGATCAACCCACCAGCGGCAGCCGCCACCTCCAACGGCAATGTCATCTACGGTGGAAAGCGACGCCTGGAAAGGTAAGAGAGTCTGAGCACATAATTCAATTTTCATCCACAGCCAGATTACCCCACTTTCCTGGGCGCAGATTGTCTCTGCTGCTTTTATGTTCTACTGCCACCGGCCGTCTGTATACTCGTTCAACTCAATCAGAAGGCCGTCGACGTCCTAAAAATAGAGCGGTTCCAGTCCAGGCCCTGCCAGACTACAGACAGACCGATAGAATCGTGTGGGTGCTCAGAGCGAGCGAGAGAGACAATGAGAGTGCGTCCGTATTTATCGGAGAGCCTACCCCAACCGACGACGGTTCGCTTACGAAAGGTCATGGTCCGACTTTTTGTTTTTTGTTTTTATTATTTTGCACTGGCAGCATAAACACTACACGCTTCCTTCCGCACATCCACCCCCACGTAATTCCCCCAAAAATAAAAAAATAAATCCACCCCAGCAAACGGATCGGCGAAAGCGTGCGTGCGCAAATATTGATTTCTTCTTTTTGCTTGCCCAATTTTGCGAAACTCTCCTGGCGGCACCGAGAACCGAAAAAGGGTCATAAAATATGTACGACCGCCGCCGAGGAACACCCGCGCGCACTTTCAATGTGCATAATAAAAAAAAAGAGCACGGCAAAACAGAACAGAAATTTGCCTTCTCCGCGTCTGAATGGCGTTGCGAACTGCCATGACCTGCCCCACCATCACATCGCCACCCGTCACGGGAATCGGTCGGTGTTGGTACTTATTGTTTGCGCAATTGTCAATACCGAAAGTGCTGGTTGAAATGCGTCTCTCGCATCACAGGGGGATTAAATTCAAATTTGCTCGTTTCGGTCGAGGGCAGCTGGAGATGACGACGGTCTTGTCAATTGGGAGACTTTTGAAAATCAAATGTTTGCTTTTGAAGACATGACGACAACGCTTATAGTCACAGTTACGGGGTTGGTTTGGTCCATAAACTATGCAAACAGAGCAGTTCCAAGCCAAATTACGAATCAGAATATATCGACCTTCTCCGATTTGCATAAAATTTTGCATACTTGTGTGTTATGGGCAATCATTAACATTTTTACATTAATTCGGTTATGTTGGATTTTGTATTTGTTGTCAAAATGGCGTCTTTGTAATTTTTCAATAAATTGTAGCACAAAAACGAGACTTCTTATCCGAAATGACGTCTAAGACACCGTCTAAGATGTTCTTCGTCATTTTTTATATTAAAAAAATCTCTTGAAAAACTTATTCATTTCTGGGATATTAAACGCACGTCTATAGACGATTTTTCTCACATAGGGGAAATGGCCCTAATGTTGGCCTATGGATCTAAGATTGGGCCCATCGCTAAAAATCTGCTATTTATCCAGTGTTGGCAAAATCAGAAATCAATTGATATGTTTGCGCTCTCATGCGCTCGCAATATCACGCGTGATATTGGAACAAAATATCATGCTTGATATTGATTTTACAAGCTCCTTTGATATAGCGAGACTATTCACAACGTGCGAAAATCAAGCTGAGAGTAGACTCGACACAAAAATGATTCCATTGCACATCGTTTTCTTAGAATGAGAAAGCATAAATTTGCTATCTCTTTTTAATCTTTGGCAGACGCGAAGGGACTGCTGCCAGCCGTTATGGAAGTTTCGGTTGCATTCGGGTGTAAAGCAAAAATCATTAAACTCAATCGCACCACAGTTTGGTGAGATTTTCAGTTGGTAAGTTTTGATAGCTTGATATTCCGAGCTGCGATATCACATCTTGCAAAATCAACCGAAGTTGTTTGCTTGTTGATTTTTGTCTGTTAGAAAATCAAGCGTGATCTTGGCGTTCGTGAGATTTGATTTCTTGATATTTTCCCAACACTGTATTTATCAATTTTATTTACATGACCGCGTCATTGGAACGGTACTAATGGATATTTTTGGTTGCTATTGAAAATTTAATCGATTACTGAATTTATGTATGGGCCCAAATTAGGGCCATTTAGGCCGACATTACATTCATTTCCCCTACGTCATTTACCAAATTTGTTCTCAATCGTAGGTTCAACATCTTAAGAATTTTTACGTTATTTCTGGATCGAATTTCTGTGCACAGAATCTTGACAAATTTCCAATGTTTAAATTTGTTCAATTGATTCATAGGTACTCATCTCTGGATATCTTTGCAAATTTGTCAAGGATTTGCTAAGGGCCATTGCACAGTGAGTGGTCCAGAATGCAGATTTAGGTGGAATGATATGTTTTGAGTCTGAAATTGAAACTTCAGACTAAAAGTTTCTTCTACAAAGTTGTTCCTTATAGTTAGGCCCTCATTTTTAAGACAATGAATTCTAGGGTGGTTCTTATTATTATTAAAATCAAAAATCTACCTTTTTTGTTTTGAAGAAATTAAGGTATACATGTTTCGACAAAGTTATAGCTGAGCTAATTTCAAGCAACTTTTTTGTATCCCTTAAGAGTAAAAAAATAGAACTTTTTTGTATCTCTTAAATTTACCGATTTAGAGCTATTTTCTTGAATTGAGTTAGGGTGTCTCTAAAAAGCAGTTGTTTTGCTCTAGTTTGCTTATGTAAAATTTCTCAGCAAAGGTGTCTTGAAATAACTTTTTGGACTTTAGAAGGCGCAAATTTTTGCTGCACTAAGCTTGTCGATATCTTTCGCCGATCGAAAATGTCTTTAGCATTACTTTTACTTTCAGGATTAGCTTCAATAATCTTGTGGTTTTGTCCGATAATCCCTCGAAATGTTCTCGCTAAAAGTCGGAATTTTGTGCAGAACACTTTAGGAATTCTGTCCAGAAAACTCTTGAAAATTAATCTACATTTATCTTTGTATTCTTGAAAATTCTCGCGATATATTGCTTTAATGTCTCTCTATCAAATAATATATGCAATTCGTTCGGAATACTTCTGGAAATGTCGTGGTATGCCATTTAGAATTTAGAAAATTTATACCCCAATTTTTTGTTTAATCTTCCTCCGAATTCAATTGTAATTTTCCTCACAAATGCTTCTCAAAATGCTCTCGCGGAGGATCTCTTAGAATTCGCTTTGAAATTTCTTCAGAATCTCCCGAAACACTACTCAAAGTTTCTTTGGAAATATCCGGAAAATTTCCTGCCAAATCCTCCCAACGTTTTGACAGCTCTTCAAAATTCTTATAAATTCTTTTAGGAATTCTCTTGACACTATCTGCACACTAGCTTAAACTTCTGCAAGGATTATCATAGTACATATATGGGTCATTCCGTGCCAAGTGACCGAGAACAAACACAAAAGTGTAATCCTCTTCCGATTTGGACCAAATTTGGAGGAGATTTTTATTTTGGTCTTACTTTTATGAATCCAAAGTTTTGTGCCGATCGAAGCATCCCTCGTGATTTTCAAGAAAGTATTATTTTCTCTTATCAATATCTTCGGAACAAGTAAAGATATAGTAGTTCTCAGAATTTCGTGAAAATTTGTAGTTTTGTTCCTTATCGAAAAATATTACACCCGTATTTTTTTTTCTCATTAGGGTGACTATTTCCATGTTGGGATGGTCCAAAAAACCGTTTTTTTCTATTTTTTTTAATCATACATATCTTTTGAATGATCAAAATATCAAAAGAAAGGTCAAAACTTTTCAGAAAAAATATAAAAAGTTTTGAAAATTGGTATTTTGTATAGAAGAACTTTGATTGTATTCGTTTTTTTATGGTTTTCATGGTTTTTAGGTAATGCACAATGGTTCCAAAGCCGTATTTAGGAAGACAAAAATGTTTGCGCCTAAACCGTTGATTTTAGGCATATGGTGTCTTCCGGAAAGTTTCTTCACATTTTTTGGCCAATTTTTTTATGTTAGTGAAATTAGGGTGGTCCATAAAATTGGTGAATTGAAAATGTGAACTTTTTTATTATGTGAGATAGATCAGTGCAATGTTCTAGAAAGTTGTAGAACATTCAATTTGCGGCACCTTTGCTCTAAGACATCAAACTTCCATCTCTCATGGTTAATGAGTTATGATTTTTTTAAACAAGCAAGTTAGGGTGGCCCCTGAAAAATTGGTTAACTGGCATTTTTAAATTGTCACTATCTCTAAAAGGAGCAAACCGATTTTCATGTTTTTAATTCCATTTGAAAGATCATTATTTTGTTCATTTACGGTGGGAAAACTAAGACAGCGATTTTTGTGTAAAGCATTTAATTTATGTTTTAAAATATTCATAATTTTATCCAAAAATTGCCATAATTCTTCAAACAAAGGAGATAGTATCTTAATTGCTTCGGCAAAATTGTGCACCATTGAAAGTTCTAAAAGTGTCTAGAACAAAGTTTTTGCGAGAAATCAATGTATGAAAAGATAATTGTGAAAATTGATTTTTAGGTAAGGTTTTTACAGATTATTCCAAAGCATACCACAGTATATTTGAATCTTTGCGTCCATATAAAGCAGTGATAATAGCAAGCTATGGTATCTTTGAAACCGTTAAGCAAAATTGATTCATTACACGTGCGCTACGCAACGGCAAAGCTTTCTTTGATTAGCCACGTGCTCAAAACAAGTACTAGCAAGAGAACACAATACGCAGTCACTTTAGTTCGTCCGTCCGTTCCGTTAGTTCGAACAGATAAAAAAAATATATGTGAATGAATCTTAGAAAGAAAATTGCTGTGGCTCCCGGTGGTGTCTAGAACATTTGTTTTACGAGAAATGAACGTATGAAAAGATATGCATAGAAAACCAATTTTTCAGGGGCCACCCTAACTTGCTTGTTTAAAAACATCATAACTCATGAACCATAAGAGATAGAATTTTAGTGGCTTCAGCAAAGGTGCCGCAAATTGATTATACTGCAACTTTCTAGAACATTGCACTGGTCTATCTCACATAATAAAAACAATCACATTTTCAATTCATTAATTTTATGGACCACCCTAATTTCACTAACATAAAAAAATTGGCCAAAAAATATGAAGAAACTTTTTGGAAGACACCATGTGCCTTAAATCAACGGTTTTAGCGCAAACATTTTTGTCTTC